GGGAAACCGGCCCCCTGCGTTTGGGGCTTGTTTTTTGCTCCTAAGCCCCGCCAGGGGGGGGGGAACCCAGTGGCAGAGCTGTCAATCACTCCCTCCCCCTCCCCTCCCCCAGCTCTGATCGCGGTGGGGCAGAGCCTCACTCCGCTTGCTCCCGGCCCCCTTGCCCCGGGGCGGGCCCAGCTGGCTGCAGCTCCGAGCCTAGGAGTTCGGGCTGTGGCCCGCGGGCGCAGCCTTTCAGGAAGTTCTGCTTGTCCAGAGTTTGCGAGTTGGGGGAAAGGTCCCTGCCTGCCCCATAAACACGCTGCGGGAGGAGGCGGGCTGGGCTGGGCTGGGCTGGGCAGGCAGTGGGGAGCACAGCCCTGGCCCGGGCTGGAGGCAGCAGGGCCAGCGCCATGACACTGAAGCTGAATTCTTGCCTCTTTGTTTTCCAGACCTGTCTGTCTAACCCTTGGATAAGCTCCCTGCATTCTGAAGCTGTTCCCGTTCTTCCCAGCTGCCTCCATAGACTGTGCGCCCTCTTGTTCCCACCCTGTTCTGATTTTTCCTTTCCTTGTGCTCTACTTTCTGCACTCTTTTGGGGTGGGAGGCTGGAAAGTGGAGTTGTCTGTTCCTTCAGTAAGATGTGGGGCCAAATGCTGCCCTTTCTTACACGCCATAATTCTGCCCTGCCCTAAGTAAATAAGATATTGCCAGCTATCCTCAACATGCCTGGTTCTGACAGTGTAAACCCAATGCAACCAGATTAAGCCTCAGAAATGAGGGGATGCCAGGACAAATAAAACTGTTTCCATTTGTGACAACCAAATGGAGATGCTGTTTCTGTACATTGTGCAGATCTTAAGAAAAAGAGGCATACCAACCTTATTAAATGCTTTGATTAGAAGTTAAATGGTATATACTTGATATTTAAATTTGTAATTAAGTTTCAGAGTTAACATGCCATGGAGAAGAAAGGAGCAGCTCACACCTCTTAGAGCTATTGCTGCTTACTTTACTTGCTTTTGTTAGTCAGGCAAAAGTCAATAAATCAGTTTTTGTTCACTTCAGATTCTGAAGTGGTTTTTATTCTTATATTTCTGAATATCATTTGTGTGCTACCAACTGAGCCAATTTGGGGCAGAATTTGGCCCTGTAACTTTAGGTGAAACACACTTGTTCTGCTTTCCAAAACATAGAACTTCTTCTTTTTGTAAATATTGCTTGTGAAGGGGGAATGCATCTAGCAAGAGTCAGGCATGCAGACTTGATGTGCAAGATTCTCCCATAATGCTCTGCCAACATGCTTCTCTTGAGCTCCCCCCACCACCACTCTCTTTCCATACTTGTCCTTGGCAGAGACAGAAGGCTTTGGAGATCAGGAATTCACTGGAGAACCAAAGTGACTATCAGAGTCCTTGGTAGGCTTTTTGATCCCTCATCTCTAGAAATGGAAGGGCATTGCTAGGCTGAGGTAAACAACAGCCTGCAGGCCCAACTCAGCTTACAGCCTTGTTAAGTCTAGCATGCACTGTGGCTTATGGAAAGAGCATGAGCAGATTTTCTGTGCTTTAACACACCTAGGGAAGGAGTCTGAAAAGTATGGGGGAGGCAGAAATGTGGCTGTTTTAACCTGTTTGCCACATGAGGGGAATGCATGAGAAGGAAGCAGGAACAGAAAGACTGAATGGGTCAGAGGAAAGCTACAGAGGAAAAACAAATATTTTTAAAGGTAAAACCCTCCATCAAAAGCATGGTATGTGTTTACTCTTGTAATGTGGCTGGCTGTTTTTGTCAGTCCCTGTTGTCATTCTTCCATTCCAGACTCCAGCAGCTCTTGCATAGGCAAAATAAAAAAACAACAACTTTGGGCATATTTACATTACATGTACTAAAGTAGCAGGGCTGCTGCTATGCTGCTACAGTTTGGTAGCATAGACATTCACTATAGCAAGGGAAGGGATTTGTCTGTTACTGAAGTAAATCCACCCCCCCAAAAGGCAGTAGCTAGGTTAACAGCAGAATTATTCATTGACTTAGTGGTTCCTGCACTGAGTTTAGGTTATCTTAAATACATCTCTCAGGGGTGTGAATTTTTCGCATCCCTCAGCACATAAACCGGTCACCTATGTTAGATAGATATGT